ACGGATTCCAAAAACCGCTTTATAATTTGGATATTTTTTATTGCATTGTTTCTAGAACTTAGATTACTTTAAATGCATATTACGACATTAAATAAGATTATGATGTAACTATCGATGTTATAGCCATATACTCAACTAATAAATTCATGATCTGTCGACCGTCTTTACACAAGAATCTACGGCTAAACCAAGATGGTGTCTTAAACATATATAAGGTACAAAATGTGTAAGATAATATAGACTCCACATGGGTGTTCATAGCTAGTTATTGTATGAACAACGTGAGGTTATACTGCAGATTGTATTCATGTCTTGTGCAGTCATCTCTTATTGCACAATGTCCTCACCCAACATGACCTGATGTTGACATCTCTCAAATATATTGCATTATGATGTAATACAACAAACACATCTTGTACATCTCGGTGTTGCACAATGTTCACATCCTACAAACAAATATTGCACAATGTAAAAGCCCAGGCCAAGTACTCCCTCCCCCCACCCTCCCCCCCCCCCCCCGCCCACACAGACGTACCTAACGACTGGTGCTGACGTCACGTATCCTGTGTTTGATAAATCTTGACAGGGGTGTAGCCGACGGTACGATTATAGCTTTAGTTAAAAGATTTTCTAGTTAGGTTTAAGAGAAAAAAATGAAACTTTATTTTAATCTCCCTCCCTCTCTCTCTCCGTCTCTCTCTCTCTCTCTTTATCTCTCTCTCTCTCTCTCACTTCCACTCTCTCTCGCTTCCTCTCTCTCTCTCTCTCTCTCCATCTTTCTCTCTCTCTCTCTCTCTCTCTCTCTCTCTCTCTCACACACTTCCCCTCTCTCTCAGTTCCTCTCTCTCTCCGTCTCTCTCTCTCTCTCACTTTCTCTCTCTCTCTCTCACTTTCTCTCTCTCGCTTCCTCTCTCTCTCTCTCTCCGTCTCTCTCTCTCACTTCCTCTCTCTCTCTCGCTTCCTCTCTCTCTCTCTCTCTCTGTCTCTCTCTCTCCCTCTCTCGCTACATTCTAAATACTCCAACTTAAAAATTTTTTAAAAAAAACGAGTTTTCCCTTTGTTTTTTTTTTCAACTTTTACCACAAAAAAGGAATGTTAATTAGCAGAAAACGATTTCTAACTAAACGTCTGGGTAAAAAAATTTGCTTCCGTTGAATGTAAGGTAATGTTTAGCTCAGTGATTTAACAGCTAGAGGCTTCTTCCCCATTAAATAAACAGTCTATTCACTAGTACTGCCATCAACAAAGTCATAGAGAATCTCAGCGTAAGTATCCATTGAGAACTTCCTTTCAAACTTATTCTCAGACAAGACTACCGTTGAGAACACTGAGTAGATTAATAAAAAAAATTCTTTACGGGGTAAAAAAGATGCATCAGTTGCTGAAATATTTAATAAACCTCATGTAAAGAAACATGAAAGAGTTAGGCCTACTTCAAACAGTTTTAAATCTTGTTTTATTGCCTAAAATCATTTTTTTTTAATTATTTACACAAACATTAAATATGATTAAACTAATCTTCTGTCCTAAATAGCTCAAATGGGCTGTTTGAATTGTTTGATTGTTTGTGATAGACATGCATACAGTGCCGGCGCCAGGTTATTTAGCGCCCTAGGCAAAACTTATTAAAAGCGCCACACCCCCCCCCCCCCGCAATTTTTTTCGTGCCCCCGTATTATCAAAGGCGTAGCGACTTTTCCTGGCGTCCGGGGACAAACTATCGACTTGCTCCCCCCCCCCCTCAAACTTTCAATGTGTTTTTCCAACCCATTTTGGCGCCCCCCAACGGACAGCGCCCTAAACGACCGCTTGGTACGCCTTATAGGTAGCGCCTGCCCTGCATGCATATAGTAATAACCCCACTTTATCAGTATTGTACAATATTTTTAAAGTGTTAATTTCGGCTTGCTTTTCTTTTTGGATTGGCTTTGTTTCTCCAACCAAGAACAAACTGTAAGGCAGATGTTTGATTTTGGAGTTGTCTCTCCTAGAAGAGCTGGTGTCCCCTGCAATCGAGCCTCATCTGCCCGAAACTTTTCTGTTTAGCAACCATGTGCTTTACCGACTAGACCATGCCGTTTTACTTTTTAATGAATAATTATATAAATCCTATTCATTAAAACGTTTTTATGCATTATGTTTGTGTGCATTTAAATTTGCGTTTATTTGTGTTCGCATTTATGTTGCGATTGTAATATTTTTTGCATATATATATTTTTTTTTGGGTTTATGTTTGCGCCTACTTTCTTGCGTTTAAGATTGCGTTAAAATTTGTGTTTATATTCGCCTGTATGTTAACGTTTCATACTTTTTATATTATTGTTTGCTTTTTTGTTTGCTTTTATGCTTGCATTATGTAAATGTTTGCGTTTGTGTTTGCGTTTGCGTTTTTGTTTATTTGTGTGTGTTTATGTTTGCGTTTATGTTTGCATTTATGTTTGTGCGTATGTTTATATGTTTGCGTTTGCTTTTATGGTTATCTTTGCGTTAATGTTTTTTATAGGTACGGTTAGTAGAAAAATAAAGTTAGAAAAGTTGGAAAAATAACAAAAACATAGAACAATCATAAAGACCAAAGATGCTATTGTACACCTGGTTATCCACACCTACAGGAGATTATTTATTTTCTTAGCATGTTCTTTAGACTATCTTCTCAACACGTGTACACTAGTTGTCGTGCGGGTGGCTAGTGGTTTTAATTAGGTTTTAATTTTTTTTTTGGGGTGGGGGGGGGGGGGGCGACAGGAGAATGTGTTGGTCGCCTGCTGATTGCCGGTTATGCTGTCTGCATATAGAAATATATGGCACCTGCCCGTATGCTTTAACTGTAGACACCTGCGTGCAGGTTTTACCTGTAGATACCCGCTTTACTCTAGACCAGTGGTTCATGTTTTTCTTTATTTTTTTCAAATTCAAAACATTATATATATATATATATATATATATATATATATATATATATATATATATATATATATATATATATATATATATATATGTTCAAAGAGCAAAGCCATTAAAATAGGATTTTCATACAACAAAAAACTAATCATAAATAGTAACTGCAAATCAATGTGACTTTTGCTGTTGCCTTTCAGACACCAGAGTGTTGTGTTCTTGTATTTTCCATCTCTATGCAGCTTTAAGGACGTGTTCTCTTAGTTTTGCCCGTGCTACACTAGTCTTGCTCAACTTGGCATTGAAAATCATGCAATATTGTATATGTTCGTCCTACATCTATTTATATGTAGAGTTAAATGCTAATAACTCAAAGGCCAGTAAATGACTCTTGCATAGTTTCTCAATCTTTTTCGTTTTCTTTAACAAGCTTTCACAACAAAAAAAAAACGTTTAACACCATAGATAAAAACATATTAAGCGCATCACTTGTCTAGCTTCTTATCAAAAGCTAAACATGAAATGGTGGGAGAGATTAATTATTGACTCAAGATGTAATAAGGTGTGACTAAATCAATCTAATGCACTGTCTCTGTAAAATAGCATTTTTGCTGGAGGAATTTCTGTTTTATGTTGGAGGGTTGGCTTATCAGCTTATCGTTGCTTTCATTTGGAGCGAGCGATGGGTGGGGATGATGGGGTGGGGGGGGGGGGGGGGTGGGGGTAAAGGTGTTGCTGAAAGAAAACGTAAGATTAACGGCATTGGTGGTAGACGAGGTGGTAGTAGAACAATATAGTAAAGGGATTTGGTGGTAGACGAGGTGGTAGTAGAACAATATAGTAAAGGGATTTGGTGGTAGACGAGGTGGTAGTAGAACAACATAGTAAAGGGATTTGGTGGTAGACGAGGTGGTAGTAGAACAACATAGTAAAGGGATTTGGTGGTAGACGAGGTGGTAGTAGAACAACATAGTAAAGGGATTTGGTGGTAGACGGGGTGGTAGTAGAACAATATAGTAAAGGGATTTGGTAGTAGACGGGGTGGTAGTAGAACAATATAGTAAAGGGATTTGGTGGTAGACGGGGTGGTAGTAGAACAATATAGTAAAGGGATTTGGTGGTAGACGAGGTGGTAGTAGAACAACATAGTAAAGGGATTTGGTGGTAGACGAGGTGGTAGTAGAACAATATAGTAAAGGGATTTGGTGGTAGACGAGGTGGTAGTAGAACAACATAGTAAAGGGATTTGGTGGTAGACGGGGTGGTAGTAGAACAATATAGTAAAGGGATTTGGTAGTAGACGGGGTGGTAGTAGAACAATATAGTAAAGGGATTTGGTGGTAGACGAGGTGGTAGTAGAACAATATAGTAAAGGGATTTGGTGGTAGACGAGGTGGTAGTAGAACAACATAGTAAAGGGATTTGGTGGTAGACGGGGTGGTAGTAGAACAATATAGTAAAGGGATTTGGTAGTAGACGGGGTGGTAGTAGAAGGACATAGTAAAGGGATTTGGTAGTAGACGGGGTGGTAGTAGAACAATATAGTAAAGGGATTTGGTAGTAGACGGGGTGGTAGTAGAAGGACATAGTAAAGGGATTTGGTGGTAGATGGGGTTTGTGGGGGCGGTGGTGAAAAGTGTTTTAGTGTTTGAGGGGATTAGTGGTGAAATGGTTTTGGGATAGTGGGGGTTGTTGAAATTGGGGTTGTCGTAAACTGCTTTCGTTGTATGGGGGGTGGATGCAGGGGTTGGTATGAGATTAACCGAGTTGTAAATTGGTTTAGTGTTCTCGGGCTTGGTAAATCAAGGTGTTGTGTTAAAGGGGGTGTTAGTAGAGTGGTAGCTTGTAGAAAATAATATAGTTGTAGAGAGTTGGTCGGAGAGTGGATAGGGGAAATTATGGAGAAGTTGATGGGGAAGTTGATGAGGGGGTGGGGGGGGGGGGGTGATGGGGGAGTGGGAGGAGGTAGGTGCTATGTAGCGCAGGTACCAACACAGGTGGGGCTGGTAGGCTGACCTGGTTGTGTTGATGTTTTGGATCTCGGTTAAACCACGGGGTTGATTTTTCACCTGAAACCTTGAGATCTTTTACCTGTGGGTTGGATTTAGTATCTTAAAAACTGTTCACGGCATGGTTGCTGCTTTAATACAGTGAGCAAAGTATCACATACCTAACTTTGGTGAGTGGTGGTTTTATAGAATTCACAGTCTTCAAACAGTCTTCAAACTTACCGGTTTTTAATGTTATATATAACTTCGATAGGCTAGAATACGTTTAATAAAGTGGGTATGCTTCGTTTATTGATATCAATTTACATTTTTTTGTCTAGCTTAAATCACAGTGAACATCGAGATCATGACGTCTTTCGCAAACCTGACGAAATACATTATGCATTCTGTGAACCTGAACAGCTACTTCCATCTCTCATTTCAAGGGGGCGGGGCACATGATGACCTGCATAAAATTCATTCAGAGGAGGAAATGGAAAGGTAAGTCAAAGATAAGTTCTCATATTTTAACTCAAACATAAGTTCTCATATTTGAAAAAAAAATGAAATTTGGGGCCGGTGCTAATTATTTCATTTTGCTAATTTTTGTTTGAACAGAATTTACTTTTGTATAAAAGCTGTATATCCTGCCGGAAGAAAGGCAAAAAAATATATATATTTTGTTACATTTTCAATTTTCTGGGTCATTTGATAAAAAATGTCATGGAAATATTAAGCATAAAAAATAAAAACAAATGTTTTAGTATGAAAAAATAATCTTGTTGTCAATTATATACTGAAACGTAATCATCAAACGAATTTGTAATCTACACCCTTTACTTTACAATTTTATAGATTTTTAAAGTATTTTTTTTATATTTTCTTAATCCAATTTGATTTTGATTTTTATAATCGAAAGACTTTTTAATTGTATCAATTTGCTCTATAAAATATTGGCCTAGAAGTACTTAGAGATCACAATATATAAAATAAGCGACTTAATGTTAAGTTATAATAAATGTTATTTTATTGTCAATCGTTAACTACAAAGTAACTTTCTCTTAAAAAACAAATTGTACGTGAATAAAGCATAATATCCTTATATGTGATTTCCTTAATCAAGAAGTTTTAATTTTGACATCCCTAGAACAACATAATAATTTTAAAAAATATTTTCTTATTATTGTCATGTTGTTTTAATTGAGTGTTATCCTTTAAATACTTTTTAAAAATCATTTTGATAGGGGCTTATAAGAAAATTTTAAAAAGACAAAACGAGGCATATGAATTGAGCAAATCATAATAGGATATAAATATATTTTACTAAGCATATATTTCCTTAAATATGTATATATATTTTCTTAGATGATATTTAAAGTTAGCCTTTTTTATTAAGTAAAATGTTAGCCCATTATAAAAGTTATATTCTGATTATTTTAAAATAAAAGTTAAATAAAGATCTCGATTATTAAATTAAAGATGTCAAGGAATATTGTATGGGTGTTTGCAAGAGAAAATCGAACGTACGTATATGATAGAATACTGCGTGGATTGTATTAGAAAGTACTGGAGTGATTTGTGTAATAGAATGTTGTACTACAGAAATGAACGAACATTCTCCTAATGTTACAGGTTAATGGAGGCTGACAGGCTGTGGTCAATCGTTATGTCCATTCACGCCGTCTACCTGTGGGTCATCGCCGCCCTGGGTCTGCCCGGCAACATCCTGGCCCTCATCACCATCCTCAGCATGCACGTCATAACCCCAGCCGCCATGCTGGTGGCGACCCTAGCGGCCACTGACGGTCTGGCTCTAATCTTCAAATTGATCGGGCACCAGGTCTTCAGACACGGCCTGCACGTGGGGGACACCGGCTGTAAGTGTGAGTTCCTGGTCATGTACATCTCCACGCTGGCCAACTGGGTCCTGCTCTGTATCTGCGCCGAAAGATTCATCGTCATCTGTCAGCCTAAGTTCCACAACGTGGTCTCCACCAAAAAATTCTGGGCTGTTGTTTTGATTCTCTGCGGCGTCGCCTTGTTGGCGATATTCCTCCCGATTTCCGTGGTGATGCGGATTTCTGTGATTAAGGGCACCAAATGTGGGACAGACGACCAGTACTACTGGTTCTTCGTGAACGTCTGGTACTGGATCAACGCCAGCCTGCACCTCTTCATCCCCTTCTCCTTCGTCGCCCCGCTGACGGTGTTGACTGTTGTCAGATTGTACAAGACCCGCGGAGTCCTGACCGGAACTGAGGCAGAAAACAAGAACCAGGCTGTGCGACAGATGGCGGTGATGCTGGTGGTGGCGGCGCTGATGTTCCTGCTCCTGTCCCTGCCGTCATGCGTCTACTTCCTGTCCTACAAGATGAGCGACAACCAGGTGGTAGAAGCCAGGTGGGCGATCTTCGAGCAGGTGCAGTACATGCTGATTGACTCGACGCACGCGGTCAACTTTTACCTGTACTTCCTGTCCTCCCAGCTGTTCCGGACACGCCTCATTAGTCTCTTCTGCTGCCGAAAGTCGCAGAGTTTGGACATTGGCACTTCCGCTGACCAAATTTAAGGCCAAGTTCACACACGTCACTCAGTCACTCCACACAATCATACAGTAACTCCAAACAATCACAACGTCATTCCACACAATCATCCAGTAACTTCAAACAACAACAAAGTAATTCCACACAATCATCCAGTATCTTTAAACAATTACTCAGCCACTTGAAACAATCATACAGTAACTCCAAACAATTGCAAAGTAATTCATAGTTACTTCACGATACAAACTCTGAATTTAACATGCATAGCAAAAACATATTATCTTGAATTTTCTTTTGCCACTACAATATCATTTTGCCCAACGCCGCCATAAAAATTCATGTTGCAAGGTAAAACAGTGAAAACATTGCTTTCAACATCACACAGAACAGCAGCAAATAGTTTGTTTGACATGCTGAGATATAAACTTGGACGCGCTGATATATAAACAATGTTGTTACTGCTGGTGCTCTAAATGTGTATATACAGGTGTATACATGACTGTATTTTAGTAATTTTGTCTTGTAACATAGCTGTAAGGATATTGTTTCACTCTAATGGTACGTATAGGTATTTAAAAGACTGGTTTTTTAATCAAGGTTACTAAATAAATGATAACTTGTAAAATGATTAAATAGAGGACGATACTTGTCAGATATTTTGAGATCTTAATGTATGATAGATGAACATACTGTAGCTAGCCCACTTGTTTGTTTATTAAACATGTAAAGTTGAAAGATTTTTAAAAAATCATTTTAGTTAGCATTTCTTTTATATTTTATTGATGTTTTTTGTACACACTGTAATACTCTTTAGGTGTGTTACAAAAGCTCATCAGAAAACAAGGTAAATGTTGTATGCACTTTATTTAAGAATAAACAATGTCATGGTAGTAAAATGATGTTGAACATGTACAATGTTATGTAACTCGCTTATTATATTACAATAAACAATGTATAGCTTCAGTTATTACCGCTATTATTTTATATATTTAAACTAGACGACCCAGTTACCCGTTGGAATATGGTCTGCCGGCTGTACAACACAAGCCTATATCCCACCACACCCACCATACCCTTTATAAAGCCTTTTAATCCGACATTAATCCATCTGTCGTACCAAGGGGCGGGGCAACTGATGATCTTCATAAACGGGTGGGGGGAGTTAAGGGGGAGGGGTTTGGGGAAATAGAGGTTGAGTTTTGTGGACGGTTGCAGGATGGGGTGGCTGGGCTTAGTTTAGTGGTAAATTCCACGCATCAAAAATAAAATTCGCAAACTGTTACGAAACAAAATGTAATTTAATCATCAAAACACTTTTTTACTTTCTCGTATATACGAAGTGTAGAGAAAGTATTGTAATCGTGCACAAAAATAACATGAAATTTTGACAGTTTTCACCGTTTTACTCCTCAGTCCTTCATCACATCCGGAGTATAGAGGACTTATTTTAATCAGGCAAAAATTATAAATACAAATATATAAACGTTTTGGCGTTTTATGCGTTATCGAGTCGTAAAAACTGAACTTTGCAATTCTGTCCTTATGTCTGTGTGTCTGTCTGTGTGTCTGTGTGTAAACACAATAACTTGAGTACCGTTACAGCTAGGTTGATGAAATTTCATATATAAGTATTTTATCAAAATCGTAGATCCTGATCAACTTTTGAGCGATTTCCGATAACCGAAAGTGGTACTTTTTCTACTTTGAATTTTTCAAAAGCCTATAAGTTGCGTACTATTTTAGATAGATGCATGAAATTTCACACGTAAGTAAAAGATCTAATTCTCTACCTTCTGTCAAATTTTGAGTAATTTTGACCGGAAGTACTAATTTACGTTATTTCCGATTTCTCAAAAAAACGCATGTAAATTTATAAAGTACTAATAATATCTTTTTTTTACGAGATTCTATTCTATTATAAAAAATTGAAGTAATTAAAAATGGATAACAAATATTGTCTATGTCCTGAGTTGCCATCCCTCGTAATTTTATATTCGAGAAAGTATAGGGGAGATCACTCCCGGTTTATTAATTCATTTAATTCCAGCCTTAAAATTAACATTTCAGTTTAAAACGCACTTATATATAGATTTGTTTATTTTGTTATTTTGGTTAGTTTTTTTTTTTGTTTTTTGTTTTTTTTTGCTGTTGACAAAAAATACTTCTTTTGATCGTTGCTATAATCAGTACATAATACTGCAAACATTACTTTCCTCATATTTTTCAACTGAAAGATCTATCTAAAGTGTCCTATCGAAAATATCGGAACCAAATAGCAATAGATATAATAAATGAATAAGTCCTCAAATGTCACATCTAAAAATACATTTAAAAATCATTTTAAAAAGTATTGACTGCATGGGTTTCGTACCCGCGGGGGTAACTCGCTTTTTAAAATTATCTTAAACCATCTGGTGTGGGAGCATTGCAATTAATTAGCAGACATCGAAGGTCTAATTAGGCCGCCACTGACAGGATCTGCCCAGTTCATCCGTGCCTAAACCAATCAATCCGTGCCTAAACCAATCAATCGGTGATTCGACCAATCGCATACCTCGCGCGGTGGTTGTTGTCTCAGGGGAGAGAAGTCTCGTTTGTTTGACACTTTCACAACTGTTTCGTCATTCACATGCAACTTTCTAGGAAGGATATGTTACATTTTCTTGAAATATAATTTGTGTTACTCTCTAGTAAGGATTTTAAAAATTGTTTTCTTGTTTACTTTGTCTTAACATTTGCCGTAAAAGAAGTTTAATTAATATAAAGTTCAAATATTCACCTAAGAATTAGCAATTGGAACTATGTTGCTAACCATGAAATCACACGTTTAGAAACTAACATTTGATGTTAAATTCATCATTACTTAAGTACGTTTGAGTGACATTTGATGTTAAATTCATCATTACTTAAGTTAGTTTGAGTGACAATATAATAGTAACAATATCTCACGTCACTGGGAAATGAAATACAATTTAGAGAATGTGTTTGATAATTCAGCTAATACTTCCGTGTATGAGGGAAATGGCAGCAACGAGTCGTTCGTGGTATGGGAGGAGACAGATGTTGTCAATGATACACTGCAGATGAGGTGAGTCTTCATACACGGACAGGCAGACAGACAGACAGACAGAAAGACAGAGACCCTATTATTGTAAACGTACAGTATTTTCAGATAATGTTTTACCTTTTTTAAAGCTGCTTTATCAATCGAAATCATAAGTCGCTATACAAAAAATAAGATTAATTTTGATGACTTCTGTTGGTGTTTAAAACATTTTAAAACATTAAACTGACTGTTTACTGGTATAATCTGAGCATTATGGCTCAAAATGTTTTCATTTCATTGAGGTCTCGGAATAAGTCTTAGCAGATTTTCTTCCAGGCATCTCTTCGGGGGGGGGGGGGGCTTTGCCCCCCCGAAAAAAATTTACTGCCCCCCCCCCCCCCCCCCGAACGAAATGAAATTTATATAATTTATATAGAAAATATATACTTTTGACAGTGTCCGCCCCCCCGAAGAAAGTCTACCGCCCCCCCCCCCAAAAAAAAAACTTCAAGTGCCCCCCCCCCCCTCGGAGAAAAAAGTCTGGAAGAAACACAGAGTCTTAGTTCATCGTTTTTTTTACTATTTTTTTATGTCATGGTATTCAACACTCTCCTTAAAAGTAAATATAATTTCTACCATTCTAACACGTAAAAGGTGCCAGCACATGAGATCAGTTGTCTGATTGTCCAGGGACACACATGATTGTAATCATTACGGCAGTTTTTTATCGGTACAGGATACACCTACATTGGAAAGAATAAAAGCACATTATAATGTGATTTAATGCCACTTATAAAGTATTTAATTATTTGTTTTAAAGTTTGATCCCATAAAAAATGTTAAGGCTTATTTCGCATGGCTCATCTTTAGCTAGCAACGGCCTCCACAAAATTGTAATTTGTGATGTTTTTGTTCGAATCTCTAGAGAATATTTACGTAAATTAGAAAATTATATCTACATTATTAAGATTTAAACGTTTTAGACATTCCAACATCTCTAATCTAATCTACCCCTCCCCCTTCACCCCCCCCTCCCCCAGCAACCTGAGCAGAAGCTGGCAACTGATGGTGAGCTCCAACCTCTACAAGTTCTACCCCTCTGTCTACTGCGCCTTCGGCCTCCCCGGGAACATCCTGACCATCCTCGCCATACTAAGCATGCACTCCATCAGCCCCTCCACGTTCTTCGTGGCCGTGCTCGCCTTCTCGGACAGCGCCGTCCTGCTGACCACACTGGCCCGCCAACAGCTCAAGTCCAACCAGGTCTACATGGGCGAGGCCTGCGTCTGGGTGGAGATCTTCCCCATATTCTTCTCCACCTACTCCAACTGGATCCTGGTCTTCATCTGCGCCGAACGCTTCATCTCCGTGTGCTACCCGCTGAGGAAGGTGTCCATCTGCACTGTCAAACGAAGCTACATCGCCTCAGGGACGTTGTCTGTGATACTGTTCATGTTCTTTGTGATCCTGTACTCGTGTCTGCTGTCTGCTGACGACGGAGGCTACTTTTGTCGGACTTCTGATGCCTACACGACGGTGTGGGTCTGGGTCATCATGACCCTCTACATCCTGATTCCCTTCTCCGTGATCTTCATCTTCACCGTGTGCGTGCTGCGAGGGCTGGTCAGGTCTAGAAACGAGAGGCGGAAGTTGCTGAGGAACCGGAGCCAGTACCAGGTCAGGCCCGACAACAACAACTTCTTCAAGCGGCCCCTGGCAGAAAGCAGACGGATGGAGCGGATGTTGACGCTGGTGATGGTGCTGGCCGCGACCATCTTTCTCCTGCTTACCTCCCCCACCCTCATCTTCTACATCTACAAGAGGTTCGGCGTGCCGGCCATGGACGCAGACGACCAGAGCCTCTTTGACCGGATACGCCGGTTCCTCCTGGACACGACTCACGCCGTCAACTTCTTCTTCTACTTCATCATCATCCGCAGGTTTCGAACCCAGTTGATCCACATCATCACGTGCAGAGAGAAGCACCAAACCGTGTTGTTCACAATAAGCTCAACAACTTAAACTCTGTCCCACACAGCAGCAGTCAACAAAGTTTACCTGTCGTAATCTGCAGTACAATGCAAGCAAACTCTCAAAGCTTTGTTCAACTTTTGTTCAGTTTGGGTTAGAAAAAGTTCACCCCATCACGGTTTGTTGTGGGATGTTTTACGTGATCGTCCGACATCTAAATATTTTATTCACGAATTTAACATTATCCAATTTAACAACAATTAGAGTGTCACAGAATAATCTTCTAATTAGCATAACAAAATAGAAAAATGTCTCGAATAAAAATGTACTATTGTTTCAACAAGGATTCACTTCTATTGAGTATACAAACTATATGTTATTTACAGTTTTAGATTTGTGTTTGTTGTGTTTAAAACCTGGCTGTATTTTTCTCCCGAGTGGAATTTTATTCAAAGAAAGTTTGAAACTCAGTTAAGTAAAAGGAATATTCTGGAATCTTCTATAATCTGGGGGTAACGGCTATAATATATTGTTTCGATATGCAACAAGTCCCAAGTAAGTTCAGGTTTAAATTAGTTTAATTACTCTAAATGCAAGCTAATTAACGAGTTAACTGTGTATTTTATAATACCACCCCTCCCCTCCTCCCCTCCTGCCCCCCCCCCCCCGGTACTTAAACTATTATTTCTACAACATGACCAGCCTAGTCCTTGTTTATGAGCTAACCGTCAGTTACCAGCCAATGATTGGACTGTTTTTACTACAAACGTCCTTTCTTTACATTGTTTTGTCGATCTTGCCTTCAAATGAAAATGTCTAATTCAGTTTTATTTTGTCTTTAGATCTTGTATTCAACACATTTAGGCTGTGTTTTATAAACTGTCTGAATTTTGTATTTCTACCCAACTGTGTTTCTAGTGTCTTTGTTCCAACTGATTTGATAGTTT